TCGGGGATATATGCTGCTTCAGCTTCTTCTTATCCTGATCTCTAGGCCCAAGCGAATCTCTCTTTCTACCCTATAACTTATTAAATGATTTGGTTCGTTTCCAATGATTGCAAGATTAGTTATTGAAAAATTGTATATATTGAAAAGGAGCATCCGGAAAATGAGAACAATAGTTGTAGTCAGGTCTAGCCGTGGCAAACTGATCATCCCTCGATAATCTGATGATATCGTGATACGTTTTCCACTGCATGGCTTTAACAAAAGTTTTCCAGACGCAGACCCTGGGAAATGCTATTTTCTGGAAAATCAATTAACAAATTACGATTGAAACAATAACGGCGTCTAACAATATTGATTGTTTAGATTATCACAATAATTCCAATAGAAAGACAGCAAAGTGCTTAATCCAGTTTTTCAAGTGAAAAAAAATTACTGGTTTAAAATGAAATATTTGAACAGCTTAGCCGTGTTGAAGAAAAATATACTTGTAAAATGTTTTAAATTCAACTAGAAATATTAAAGACACTCTCAGATGAAATGAAGAGAAAAAAATTACATCTATTCTAAAGTCTCTTGTGGAATAGTGAAACAATGATAAATAATTTCTCAAGATTTTCACAGGTCTCATCAATCAAGTGATGATCATGACACGTGTTACATCATCAATAGCTCATCAAACGATTTTGAAAGTAAATGTTTAGAAAGCCGTCCTCATCAATGTACATCATCTTATGAAACCTGCCAAAGTTCTTAGGCATAGCAAGTAAGGATGTAATAATAGTCGGAATACGTGCCCCGTTTTGCGGAGTGAGCTGGAGCATAACAAATAGCACACTGCTATATGCTCAAACAGGTTCTCTTAATGAAAGTAATGGTAATATTCGAGTTCATAAAATGATTCTTAGGTCTATAATCTGTGTTGAATTCGTCGTTTCTTCATTTCAATGCGCTTTAATGATGAAAAGTGCAGAAAAATCGAAATTCCATTGCTACTCAATCATTTTCACTCAATCCCCATTGATAAAGTAGACGTGCCGCTCATCACGTTGCCGCATCCAGTGCCGATTAATGTCGCAATTGTCGATTCATACGTTCTGCTCCGTTTAAATCCACCAGCAATACGCTCAGCGGTTGGCGAGTGGGGCTAGCCCGAATACTTTCTCTCCTGGAAATGAGCCTGGTCTGAACCGCTAGGTAGAATTTTCGAGCAACCAGTTTTTATCAGGCGGCTGACATTGTCGTCGCGATTCAAAGGCGTTCCAGTGTACGCATCAATCACGTTTACTATTTTTTAAGTACGTATTGTGCATTATTATTCAAATTATCAGTCTTTGACGATTATTCTACCATCAATACTCGTCCGATTCATTTTTCCATATTATGCAGCCCTGAGGTGTTGAGTTTGATGATTTTGTGTTATGGCAAAGTGAAATTGGCGGAAATTCGTGTAATTATATTTTGCGTAATTTTCCCTCTAGGATAATGAGAAATTCCGGTGATTAATAACGAATAATTACAGGGAATATGTTTACGCAAAATTATGTTGTTGCGCAATTTAGTAGAATGAACTTTCAAACTATTTCAGTTTAATGAAATCATTATCGCTGGAACTGTGGAGAAGGCTATTCATCGAAACACTTTCGTAAAGAATGCAGCTATCACAGGTCTGTGTCCTTCTTCTCGGCTGTTTCCTTGTATTTGGAAATGTGACGGCAGCCCCAAATCCTCAAGAGCCAGTCTTCGAACTACCGGTGCAATTGGTTGGATTTCCGGTGATAATCGCCGCTGTGAGGATAACGAATTTCGTGAAGAAACTTGCATATTCCGTTAATCCACGTAAGTTAAGTCTCTATGAGTAACTAGGTATTGCGTTAGCACGTAATGAGCACTGGCCGGAAACAACAGTTTCCTCGGTACACATAATGACTGGAGGCGAAAGGGAAAGCCTGAGTGTTATCATAGTCGAATGAGGCGGAAGTTGAAAACTTTTAGTCGATTGTCGGTATCTTTGCATATGAAATTATTTCCCTTTTCCTTTTTTTCCGCCGTCCTTTCCGATATAAATTTCGCCAATTTTTCTCGGGTTACGGAATCTATGGAAATTATCGCTTCAGGTTCAATTTTTGAAGACGGGGATGAAGTGGATCGTTGAAACAAATGCTGACGTTAATTATTATTGCCTCTGTGAAATGATAAATTCCGCTTTGATGTACACAGAAACTGAGGAAGAAAAAGAATAGAGGAACGAACAATCGCTCAACTAAAATCGATAGTTTTTATATTTCAATTTTCTATTTCAGAGTAACGTGGACAATCTCATTTGAATAATTTTAGATTAATGTTAACGATGAACTTTATATTAACAATCGAGTTAGCCAATCATCAATTTTAAACATTCACCATCACTTTTTGGCCCATTCTGCCGTACGTATTCTAGGAAGGCTCATAGAAATCGTGCAAAGTCGGGAAGAAATATTTTAGACCTTGTACCTAATGGAGATGTAATTAAATTCCCTGTAATTATCCAAATGATTAGCTATTGGCTATTCGGATTTTAATTGTTACTTAATTCCCGTATGTTTTAGAATTTTCTTCCTTCCACTCGTAACTTCGCAGTTCCCTTAAGGTTGTTCATTACCCATATATATGTATAATCAAAATTAACGTTCGTTCATTTTTCTGCCAAACTTACTATGGGATCGACGTAAACAAATATAATGTTTCCGCGTTTTGTCACTATTTAATAACTCACGAAGTTTCAAGGCGGTGCAAAAACTTTTCTGCTTTTTTTTCAACTTGTTTGTTAAATCACAAAACTGTGGAAAAAATACATGACAATGATCGCGGCACCACAAATCTTCGTGAGTCATTAAATAATGACAAAACGCAAAAACGTTATATTTTTGCACATCAATTTCTTCGATAATCTGCCAAAAACAATTTTTAAATGTGAATTTTGACTATATATGGGTGAAGAACGTTCTTAAACTTTCGGTTAAACTTGACCTTTCAAATGTTTTCCCTTTCATTTTTCATCGAAGACGACTGAAACCTAACAAGTCCATT